AAGGAGAAGCCGGTTGCTCTTCGGGCACTTGCGATGTGTTGCTGACCCCGTGGTGCCTGGTTACAGCTGCCAGGTCAGTCGGACCGTCCCTTTCGGCTGCGGTAGCGATCCTGCGTGGACGAAACGCTCTTGGAAGGTGATTTCTGAGCAGTGTAAAAGGCGGTGCTTAACTTGGCAAGGGAGAAAGACTTTTCCCCTCTTCTTGTTTGGCTGACAGTCGGTCTTGGTGGAATGCAAGCCAGAGCCTTCCTTATTCTCGCTTAGTAGTATCATTTTGTGTGGGCTCTTAGAGTAGACAATGAATAAGCCTTTTTGGCTGGGCTCATCTTCACTGCATCTAGCCTGGGCTACACGGTGTGGTCTTCGGCTCTAACCCTGGCTGGTTTAGACACAGGCTTTCTGGCCCCATCTCAAAGTAAAATATAGTATTGTACTGCTTGTACACTGTTTTGGCTCACAGGCCAGTGTTAGAGGGAATTCGGGCATCACACCCCAGGACTTGGTGTTGTCTGTCTGCCTGTCTGGCATGAACTTGTTCCCAGCTCCTCTTGGGGAGGGAGCCAGAGAACCGCTATACTAGCCTATTTTTCTTTCCACTGAAAAACCCGGATGCATCAGGTAAGACATCAGCCAGTGCTGGAGTGGAGAGATTTTGCGACCATAGCTTGAATGAGTCCACGCTGGAGGATTTGAGGCACGCACGGAGCCTCAGCTGCTGAAGTTGTGTTTTGTGGTTATTCTGCTCTTGCTGCTTATATACGGGTGGGGTATTAGCATGAGGATGGTTTAGTTTTGTCTTCTTGACAGCTTGTGAGGTAATTCTACTACTGTCAGTTACACTAGTACAAATGCAACCGTATCGAGCAATCTTAGGTGGTTAAAAATTATTCTTAACAGGAATGCTGAATCACATGAGTGTTTTCATGAATGCCTTTGCGATAAGATGGGAAAAATGTTAGCTGCTTTATATGTAATATAGTTGAAAAGTAACGTGCGTACAGCAGTGATGTAGGAGGAGTGGGTTAAACAGAAAGCTTCTCTCTGTCCTCCTTGTGTTCAGTAAATCATGTTTAATGCCAGTTAATATCTTACTCTCGTTTTTAACTATGTCTGTCTCGTCCGTGGTGATGGAAAAATATTTTAGCTTTTCTTTCCTGAACCTGCCTTTTACTTAGAACTAATGTTACCTTGCTCTTTTTCTGCTTCCCGCTTGTCAGGATTTGGTGGGCTTGAAACTACAAACTCCACTGCCAGTGGGTTTAATTTTGGGGGTTTCGGATTAACTGCTAATCCCGCGGTGAATTTTAATATTGGCAATTTCGGTGTTTCCACTACCTCAACTCCACCGTTCAATTTTGGTAACAGTCTGGCAAGTGCAGGTAGATAACGCATAAATAATTGTTCTGTAATAAATGTTAATAGCAGGGGTCCAAGAATTACATTCCTGGGAATCTGTACTGAGTACTAATCGTGATATCCGGTGAAGGCTGGAGAAAAAAGCCCTGAAAGTGGAATAGGTTTGAGAACTATAGGCTTGTAGGGGTTTTTGCCTGTTAAATTCTCAAGAAACAGCTATTGTGGAAAAATAACCGTGTGCCAAATACTCGGTCTGTGAAATGGAAATGAGCTGTGGTAGCCTGCAGTCTGACCCAGTCTAAAATTGGCCCTCGATGACCTGCCAAAACGGCAACGTCCGTTCTCCGTTCAGGTCCAGGCAGTGGGGAGCAGTCGCGGAGCTGCTCCCTGCCGCCACCTTTCCTGCCATGAGATTCTTGGACTACTGCAGTCATGGTTTTCATCTTCCCCGTGTCTCCTCATTGGCCTCCGTTGGCTGTCATGAATGCGCTCCACCTCGGTGGTTTCCGTGGAGAAACAAATTTTATACGACCAGCACGAAACGAAGAGCCCTGGCTGTGATGAGTTTCCTAAACGCCGTTCTGCGCCCCGAAATGGCGCCCCAGGCTCTCGCTAGCAGATCCTCTGTGCTTCTGGGAGGATCTCCAGGGTGGCGTGCGAGCCAGGTGTTGATTGAGAGAACTCCCTGTGGCCCTGTGTAGATCCATCAGTTCTGAGCGATCAGCTGATGTCATTTCCAGTTAAATTTTTATCCATTTCGTATAGAAACGTTTAACTATCTGGATTTCTCATGCTTTTACTCACGTAGCCCGTGGGGCCTTGTTGCCGCTGCTCGTATAGGAATGACATGCACTCCACAGCGTCATCGCTCCCTGTGTTAGCCCACCCTTACTGTCTTGTGCACTCGGGGGGGGTCTCATTTTGGTTTTATTTGGTTTGAATTTGAACGACTCCAGCAGAGAACTCAGACACTTAGTTTTATGTAGCAGTTTGCACTCCTAGATCCTTCTGCAAGAAAGGATGAATTGCTGTGAGGACAAAACTACCTAAAAATTGTGTCACTCACCAGTAAGACTGAGACTTGAATGTTACAGGGAACAACTTCGTACATCCACTCGCATTAAGATGATTGTTGAATGGAAATAAAATGTGATTGCACGTCAACTTCAGTTTAAGTTTGTACATAGACAATAGGATGGGAAGTGTAGTAGGTCTAAAGACACTTTTTTTTTTTTTTTCCCTGCTGTTGACGTGTGAGTTATCAGTGGCAGCACCTTTTTGACAAATCCTTTGTAGCAGACTCTCTTTCTTCATTCGAATGCATGCAAAACCAGTTTGAAACGGAGAGACTTGGTTCTCTAGGGCCAGTCAGATGTCCACAGGCTGCATCGTGGGCCAGCGGTGCATTGGCACCGCCGTGCCGAGGAGATGGCATGGCAGCATCCTGTGCAGCCTCACGTGCCAGGACAGGTAGCACCTGTCTTGGCACAGCCGCCCTGCGTTGGGGCACCTCTTCTAAGGGGGCAAATGGGAAGATGGGTTTCTTGGGGTTTTCTCTGTCGTGGTGGAGCTCAGGCCCTCACTTAGGTCTCCACGTGCTAGCCAGTGACTGGTTTTCCTGAAAATCTGTGGAAGGCTGAGTGCTTTTGCATCCGTCTTTGGTCGTGGTTGAACTTCAGAATGAGGTTTAATGAGGATGATGATAGGGAAACGATGCTTAAGAAAGGAAAACCTCGTAGAATTCTCCCTGTATGTAGAAAGAAACCATTGCTGTGGCAACGTTCCCACGTAAGCACAGCAATTGTGTGCCCCCTAGCCTCAGGCTTCACTTAATTTGTTTCTATTTTTGCTCTGAAGAGGTTAGGAATGTTGAAAAAGCTCACAAAACATCAGATGGTTTATTGAACACTTAGCAACAACATTGCCTAGAACTATTCCTGAGAAATAATCTAAGAAATACTGTTAGTTGTGTCTGAAAGCACATCCTGCTGGTAAAGGAACAGGATGTTGGTTAACTGCTGCTTTTTTATTTGCTTTCCTGACACACTGGGGATGTACTGGCTTTCTGGTTCGTGTTTTCTCCCCCGTTTCCTCAGCCAGTGACCTCAATACCCATGATCCACGCGAACTACATGCTTGCAACATAACGCATCCATCTGTCAACATCTCATAACACACCTTGAAGTCGATTGTCGTGTTACGCACAGCTGCCACTCGCAGGGTGCCGTCCACCTGACTTGCAAACTTTGTTGGCTAGGTGCCTTCGGAGGGTTTGGGACAACCACCACCACCGCGGGACCAGCCTTCAGCTTTTCCGCCCCCACCAACACCGGCACCAGCGGTAAGAGAGCACCAGTCTGAAAGTACTTGCTGGAGAATGCACAGCAGGGCGTCAGCCCTTCGCAAGAACGTTTGGCATTTCATCGGTTCTCTTCTCCTCTTTTCCTCAAGACTTGTTTGCTTATTTCTCCAGGACTCTTTGGCGCTACCCAGAACAAAGGCTTTGGATTCGGTACTAGTTTTGGCACAGGAACTGGAACCGGCCTGGGTAGTGGGTTGGGAACCGGGCTCTGCTTTGGAGGCTTCGGTACCCAGCAGCAACAGAGCAGTGAGTATGGCCTTCTCTTGATTTACTTCTTCCTTAGCAAGGAGAGCATAAGTCTGCAACAGATGCCCAAGTAGTGGGACAGAAGTATATTATAAAGGGAGGCAGTTACACTTAGGCCTTGATGGATGGAGACTTGTCAGAAATTGGGCTGCTGAAATGCCTGCATTTGCAGCCCTTGCCTTTTTCTTAAACTAGAGCTCGAGCAAGTTTCTGAGCCTCACCCTTGAGTTTCCGATAATATTTGCCCCTTTGCTTTGGCACTTTGGCAGGTACAGAATTGATGCTGGCAGTCGTAGCGTTACTGGAAAGGGAAGGAAAACAGTGTTGAGTTCAGTTGAAGTGTGAGGTGGATGATGGCCAGATGCAGGCTCTAAGTCCACTGAATTCATAATAACAAACCCACCCTTCAGGTTTAGATAGCAAAGGCGCCAGATGATGTCATGGGCGAATACAAACGTCACATTTAAAGAAAAAAGTATAAATGTTTTTCTTCAAACTCAGCATTCGGAAACTTGTGTTGCTGATGAAGATTGGATGTAAAAGGACACTTCTGAAAAACATTTACGATGTTGATTTATTTATTCTGCGCATTTATTTTGTTCCTCAAAATGCAGAAAGATGTAATGCCAAGGATACCCAGATGGTATGTGTCAGCAAGTGAGCCTGTCTTGGTAAAGGAGTTAATTTGTTTTTCTTCATCCAATGCAGCATTAGGAAGCGGCTTGTTCAGCCAGCCTGCTCAGACCCCCGCCCAGTCGAACCAGCTCATCAATACAGCCAGTGCCCTCTCGGCTCCAACGCTCTTAGGAGACGAGAGAGATGCAATTTTGGCAAAATGGAACCAGCTGCAGGCCTTCTGGGGAACAGGCAAAGGGTACTTCAGCAACAACATTGCTCCAGTGGAGTTCACGCAGGAAAACCCCTTTTACAGGTTTAAGGTACGGAATTATTCGGGTCCCCACCAGCAGTTCCGAAGCAGTTACTCTGCTTGCTGAGAGTCGGAGTGTGTCATGAGTGTTCAATCAGATTTTGTTACTCTGCAGAGTATTCTGAAACAGGATTTATCCAGGTTACGTACACAAGTCCGATACATGCTCATGAAAAGGGCTGAAGATGCACACATGCCGGAAATGTGGGTGTTGTTGAGGTACGAGATAAGGAGTGCCTCTCTGGGTCATAAACCAAGCCTTCTTCTGTGATAATAGTCAGATTAATGCGTGCGTGGTTGGAGCAAATATCTGGAAACGAATTTTAAGGTGTATTTGTTTAGGTTACAATATTAGGGAAACTCTTCCTTCACATCCGAAAGAAACTGTTAACATCTGGAATGAGAACTTCAGGGTCTGTCTTCATTGCTTTGCCTGCGTTAGTAAACCCCTCTGTGAACCTGGCCCGTGCATACCCTTTTAAATCCAGCAGCCTTCAGCTTTCTTCTGCCTTTCTCCTTGCCAGCGCTAAAGCTGACTCCATTCCTTGTGTGATGTCGGCATTTCCAGATCTTGCTTCTCGTGTCAGCAAAGAATACGTAACTCCTCTTCGTCCTCTGCAAATCCCGTGCCTGCTGCCTTCCTTGCTAAGCTTCACGCTTCAAGGTGGATTTGGGTCAGGCTTTCCCAAGCTGATTTGTTGAAGTGCAAACTTTCTAACCCGAATGTAGGTTAATAACTATTTAAGTCCAGTTTTGCACGTCGTGACATGTTGTAAAACCTTCGCAGCAGCTGAGTGCCTGCATGCAAACGTTTGGCTGCTGTTGCATGACCTTTTTAGATGCTATCTTGAATATTTGGTGATCATGCACCTGAAAGCTTACTTGATGGTAAGTCGTCGCCTGAAGGGGCTTTAGAGTTTTTGCAGCTTTGAAAAACTGCGACGTCTAACTTGCGTGATGGAAAATCAGTTATTTGAGAGTTTCGTTTCCCAAAAGGAGAAGTTTTCCTTCCTTTCAGGTTCGACAACGCCACATATCAGGTTTACTTTTGTCCCTATGACTCGAGTCTTACTAATGCCACGAGGATTTCACGTGTGTGATACCACGTGTGTGATACAGGCCGTCGTTTGAAGGAGCACAACGCAGTGCAAAATCTGCCGTGGTTTGAAAACATGTAATTGCATAAAGGAACGTAGGAAAATGCTGAGAAATCCATCCAGATTTATGGGTGGCTTGTCTTTCAAATAGGTTGTGTCAGTCACTGCTTGCATTCGTTCAGACATTTGGGAATATAATGTTGTAAAATTTCTGGAACTCTAGTAATTTTTCTGTATTAAAGTCTGCTTCCTTTTGCGACTTAGAAATCTAAGTGTAAATTTGTAAAATGTTCTGATTGCTATCAGCTCAGAGCAACATAAATAGCCAACCGATCTCCCAATCCATAGCTTTTTGTTGTGTTTGTTTGTTGTTTTTTTTTTAAGTTGAGGAATGGATACTTAACAAACTTTTTATGTAAAAAATGTGAACTGTTTCAAAAGCTACTGGTGGCCTTGTGAGAGAACATTTTAAAGGGGGCTTGATTTTATGTTTCTCCATCTCTGAATATGTTGTAAGTTAAATTTTGAACCAGTTGCTCTAAAAATTGAGGGGTTTAGCCCCTTCCCTTCGTACCACATAGGTATATTTTTGCTCAGTAATATATCCCCAGTTTTTGTTTGTGTGTCTGCAGGCTGTGGGTTACAGTTTAATGCACAACAAAAAAGATGAAGATGGCTTCGTGGCCTTGGTCTTCAACAGAAAAGAAATAGATATTCGAAGCCAGCAGCAGCAGCTCGTAGAATCACTACACAAAATTCTGGGAGGAAACCAGGCCCTCACCGTCAACGTAGAAAGTGTTAAAACGATTCCAGATGACCAGTACGTGAACTTTACAGTTTTGGGTTTTTATCCAGTGTTGTGTGTTATAAAGGGTTGGCACGTGGTCTCCTCTGTCTCCCGTTCTCCTCGATTTTACATCTTTTTGTCTCGAGTTTGATTCTGAGTCTCTCATTCCTTCGCGTCGCTTTTTCGCTGTGCGCTTTTGCTAGAGCGCGCAGCTGTGAAACTCAGCTCAGGAAACGGGCTTCTCCAGACCCTGCTCGGCAGCAAAAATTGGAGATGAGGATGCTAGCCACAAAGGTGGCATACATACGTGGTGTTTTAGGAGCTGTGGGGTGTTCACCTGGTAGTGCGTGAGGTGGAGGGGCACTGGGGTGCACAGTAATAGGGTCTGTGCAGTGTTTGGTGTCGCAGACGTTGGTTTCAGGGGGACAGCTGTGCTGAGGCCGGTTGAGCTGGCTCACCCTGCGTGGGTGAGAGCAGAGTGCTGTCTGCTTGGACTCGTTTGAGGGCCTCGGGCTCGTCTGCTTTAAGTGCTTCAGCACGCCGACGTTTCCGTGCTTTCCCACCGTTTCATTCAGTTTTAGAGACCAAAGGTTTTAGGTTATTCTTAATGTAGTAGTAGTAGTATCACCGTATCACATGGTGATTAAAACTGAGGGGGAAGAATGTAGGTTGTAGGGTATTTACAGCTTTCCTTTTTCTGCCTTGCTGTGTTAAACCCAAGATTTACTGGCACTTTCTGCCCCAGTTAGCTCAAGGAAGTTAACAGCCAGCTAGGAGAAGCGGTAACTTGGATTTAGGGTTGTTTTTCGTGCTGACCTTTTTCTGACAGAACGCCCTTTGTCTTGCTCAGGACAGAAGTGACCATTTACGTTGTTGAGCGCTCGCCCAACGGCACTTCGAGGAGAGTTCCTGCAACGACCCTCCACGCCCACTTGGACCAAGCCAACATAAAATCGTCTCTGCAGCAGCTGGGGGTCAGCCTTTCCATGACCAGAATGGAGCTTTCCCCAGCACAACTCAAACAGCACCTGCAGAACCCTCCTGCTGGTAGGTGGTCTGGGGCCGTGCAGAGGCTCAGCTGGGCATCTGCTGGGGCGTTTTGGGGCTCTGGGAAAAATGCAGGTGTCGCCCCCCTGGAAAATACCTTTTAAAACTACAAGTTTCCAAGGCATTCTGGCATATTGACGTAGTGGTTTTAATTAGAATCATACAATCAGGGAACAGTTTGGGTTGGAAGGGACCTCAAAG